ATAATAAAAATTTGTCTTTTCATACCAACTTTATGATACTCCAGGTTTTAGCCAAAGATCTGTTTAATCAAGGTTTGCCCCTCCACCCCACTCCAGTGAGTCCTAATGCCTCCAATTCTTTTCAACCCACAAAACACAATTTGGGATACATATGAAACTTAACTGTCACCTTTATTCTACCCAAAAGTCTGTATCAGACACATATCTGAATTTCTGCTAGAAACCAGAAAGAAAGGAAATAACTGATGGAGAGGCAAAAGCATTAAGAAAAGATCAAAGTGACCAGGCACGGTGGCTCACACCTATAATCCCAGCACTTTGGGAGGCCAAGGTGAGAGGATTGCCTGAGTCCACAGGTTCAATACCAGCCTGGGCAACTCAGCAAGACTCATCTCTACAAAAAATCAAAAAATTAGCTGAGCATAGTGGCACATGCTTGTAGTTCCAGCTACTTGGAAGGCTGAGCCCAGCAGGTCGAGGCTATAGTGGCCGTGAGCATGCCACTGCACTCCAGCCTGGACAACAGAGTGAAAGACTCTAACTAAAAAAAAAAAAAAAAAAGTTCAAAGAAAGGCAGAATCAAAGGCAGGCTGGAATGCTATGAAAGTAGGAGCAAGAGGTTAGATATTGATCAAAGGTGACTTTAGCAGTGATAGTGGAAAAGAAAGTGTCTCAGTCATCCGAGTATCCTCCTTATACTCAAGAGTATATATACCACAAAAAAACAGCAAACATAATTTTCCCAGAGTTTTCATGTCACATTCACTCATACTCCCTCCCTCCTACAGTTATTTTCACTTATGATATACCTCTTTAAAAAAAGATAGCCGAGCCGGGCTCGGTGGCTCAGCCTGTAATCCCGCACCTTTGGGAGGCTGAGATGAGTGGATTGCCTGAGCCCGTGGGTTCGAGACCCACCTGGGCAGCGAGACCTCATCTCAACAATAAAAAAATAAAAAAATAAATCAACTGGGTGTGGTAGCGCATGCCTGTAATTCCGGCTACTTGGAAGGCTGAGGCGGAAGGATCGCCGGAGCCCAGCAGGTCGAGGTTGCGGTGGCCAGAAGCGGCCACTGCACTCCAGTCTGGGCGACGTGAGACTCCAACTCAAAAAAAAAAAAAAAAAATCTTGAGTAAGACAAGATGCTCCAAAACCACAATGAGATACCACCTCACATTCATTAGGATAGCTATTATCAAATAAATAAACAAAATAGGAAGTGCTGCTAAGGATGTAGACAAAAGGAGCCCTTGTGCACTGTTGGTGGGAATGTAAAATGGTGCAGTTGCTGTGGAAACAATGACTGTTCCTCAAAAAATGAAAAACAGAATAACCACATGATCCAGCAATTTCATTTTTGGGTACATACCCCCAAAGTCTCAAAAAGATATCTGTACACCCATGTACACAGCAACATTATTCACAATAGCCACAAGGTGAAAGCAACCCAAATGTTCAAGGGCAGATGCATAAATAAGCAAAATGTGGTATGTACATGCACAATGGAATCTTATTCAGCCTTAAAAAGGAATGAAATTAGCCGGGCTCAGTGGCTCAGCCTGTAATCCTGCGCATTTGGGAACCCAAGGGTTCGAGACCCGCCTGGGCAGCGAGACCTCATCTCTACAATAAATCAAAAAATCAGCCAGGCGTGGTAGCGAATGCCTGTAATTCCGGCTACCTGGAAGGTTGAGGTGGAAGGATCGCCGGAGCCCAGCAGGTCGAGGCTGCGGTGGCCGGGAGCGGCCACTGCACTCCAGTCTGGGTGACAGAATGAGACACCAACTCAGAAATAAATAAATAAATAAAGGAATGAAATTCTGATACATGTTAAAACATTAATTAACCTTGAGGATATTATGCTAAATAAGCCAGTTACAGTAAGACAAATACTGTGTGAGGTATTCAGTGCTTATAGAAGGTATCTAGAGTAATCAAATTCAGAGACAAAAAGTTGCCAAGGGGCTGGGAGTTTAGAATAATCGGGAGTTATTGTTTCATGGATATAGAGTTTTGGTTTTGCAAGATGAAAAGAGCCTAGAAGTGAATGATGGTGATGGTTGCACAATATCAATATACTTAACATCACTGAACTATACACCTAAAAATGGTTAATATGGAGTTTTTTTGTTTGTTTTTTTTTTTGTTGGAGTCTAATTCCATCAACCAGGCTGGAATGCAGTGGCACACTCACGACCACCCCAGCGTTGACCTACTGGGCTCCTTCCATCTCTGCCTTGCAGGCATGCGTTACCATGACCTGCTGATTTATATACTTATTTATATTTTTATTTATTTATTCATGCATTCATTTATTATAGAGATGAGGTCTCACCATGTTGCCCAGGCTGGTCTTGAACCCACGGGTTCAGGCAATCCTCTCGCCTCAGCCTCCCAAAGTGCTGGGATTACAGGCTTGGGCCACCGTGCCCAGCAATATGGAAAATTTCATGTGTATTTTTACCATCATAAAGAAAGTCGCCGGGCTCGGTGGCTCAGCCTGTAATCCCGCGCCTTTGGGAGGCTGAGGTGAATGGACTGCCTGAGCCCGCGGGTTCGAGACGCGCCTGGGCAACAAGACCTCATCTCTACAATAAATAAAAAAAAAATCAGCCATGCGTGGTAGCGCATGCCTGTAATTCCGGCTACTCGGAAGGCTGAGGTGGAAGGATCGCCGGAGCCCAGCAGGTCGAGGCTGCGGTGGCCGGGAGCGGCTACTGCACTCCAGTCTGGGCAACAGAGTGAGACTCTAACTCAAAAAAAATAAAAAAATAAAGTCATAAGTTAACTGTAAGTTTTGAAATATTTCTAACTACAAAGTCAGAAAAATGTTGCCTTTTACTTAAATTTCCTGTAAACTTTTATTTAAAAAAGGTTTCTCCATAATCTAAACAAAACTTCCAATGATTTCACTTAGAGGAAAGTAACATCAAAGTATCTCGGAAACATGACACAAAATTTGAAAAAAGGTCCTGAGATTTCACACACAGTATAGCTTGAAGTCTCTCACATCTATCATGATAAACGTTAGGCCTTCCCTCTAAATTTGCTTTCTAGGCTTTACTTTGAAAAAGTAGTTAGAAATCTATTCATTTACTTAAGCCCAAGGCTTTATAGATATGGCTAACTAAATCACATGTCACAGGAATAAACTAACAACTGAGAACACCAAAGCCTCAGGCAAGAATTCCAAGGTTGCTATTTAGGCAAACCTGTCTGAATTTGCAAGATGCTGTCGTCTGATAAAGTTGTATCAAAAACTCAAATGCTGGCCAAAATGGGAGAGCACAGTAATAGGAGAGAAGTGGTCTGATCTTGTGTAGCAATTCCACATTCTATTTTGGAGAACTTATTTCTAAATTTATAAGAACATGAAGCCAAGAGCTAGTATCATAAGAGGGGAAAAAATGAAATGTAAAGAGCTCAATACCAAATAAAAACATGCAAAGGAAGGGTAGGTTTGGATTTTTCGTTGTTGCTGGTCACAACTTAGTGAGGTACTGCCACTTTTGAAATAAAAGGTGGTAAAATTAATCAAGCATGTAAACGTTTCAACAGATTTGTGTTTTGCCAACTCATCAATCCACAAACTGGTAACATTTCATGAGAATCTAGTATACTCTCCAGACACTGCTAGAACTGACTGACAAATGAAAAGTACAGAGATTTAGGAAATTAGCCTGTAAACTCCGTGAAGACAAGATTCATACCCACTGTATTCTCTGTTGCTGTTATCTCCAATGGGCAACAAAGAACCTGATATATGCAGACCGAGAAGTTAAGGTATAGAATATGTTTTAATAGTCTTCTATATTAAATCATAAAGGAGTATTTAAAAAACCACAGCTATTTTAATAAATACCAAGCAAATGTATAGTCCCATAAGATCTAAATATAGCTATCAAAAATTCATTTTATTTCTTCTTAAAAAAAAATCAAGTCTAATGTCTAATGCAACAATTCATCATGCAACTAATCTTGAAATAATCAACTTTTGTTAACAGTTAAAGTTAGAAGAAAAAACAAAAACATAATTTCAGTAAGAAGAAAAGGGATATAAGCAGATGGGTTCCATGCAGACCAGCCTCTAAGGGAGTAGAGCTGGCTAGCTCTGTGGCTTTTGTCCTCCAAGCCAATTTTGACAGGAAAAAAACACTGGAAAAGAAAACATTAAAAATAACACCATGGCATCAGTTACCATGAAACCAGACAGTCAGTCCTTTTCTGCAAACCTAACAACATACACAGATACATATGGCACAAGACTAAAATACAATATGGACAGATACTTTCAGAGGTACTATATTATTTCTTAGCAAACCTTAATAAGACAAGCACGAAAATTACAAGTAATGAAAGACAATTTCCCCAACACCTGTACCTAATCTCTCTACTCAATTTCGCTTGATACAACTGCACACGTTAGCACAGCTACATTTAAAAATAGTACTTTTGCCAGGCTCGGTGGCTCAGCCTGTAATCCCATGCCTTAGGAGGCCGAGGTGAGTGAATTGCCTGAGCCCGTGGGTTCGAGACCCGCCTGGGCAACTTGGCGAGACCTCATCTCTACAATAAATCAAAAACTAGCCAGGCGTGGTAGTGCACACCTGTAGTTCCGGCTACTTGGAAGGCTGAGGCAGAAGGATTGCGGGAGCCCAGCAGGTTGAGGCTGTGGTGGCCGGGAGCAGCCACTGCACTCCAGTCTGGGTGACAGAGTGAGACTCCAACTCAAAAAAAAAAAAAAAAAAAATTAAGAAAAATTAAAAAAATAAAAATAGTACTTTTTTCACTGTTCCTATCACAGTCTCTTCCTCCCTCAGATTTTAAAATAACTGTTACAATTTCTAAAGGCTTTTTTCTCATATGCTTATGATGCAACCCTACTTGCAGATACTCTGTGCACTAATCTGCCATAAAATAAACTCTCTTTACAAATCCCTATCTCTAAAGTGCCCCCAAAACAGTTAGTTGTCAGCAAGCAACAGACAATAAAACTCACCCTCCTTACTTTATGTTTGGTTTTCTCACTCTTCACATGTTGTTCGTGGGTGCAGAAGTTCTTCCTCCACCCATTTTCACTCAGTTTATGTCTCTATGCCTGCTCCCCAGAGGAAGATGGTAAAAGCTATTCTTGCTTCCCAAAGTGTGGGACAACTCGCTCTGCTCTGTCCCCTTCCCCCAGCCCCTGCCAGTGTTCATGGGTGATCAGTCTTCCAGCTCACAAAAGGAAGTCTTGAGAAATAACCTAGTGATCTATCTACCCCAGCAGCAAACCCTAGGAGGCTCCAAATCCGGGAAAGGAGGAACTGGGAGATATTTTCCAAGATACGTTTCTCCATGTGCCCCAACAAACTAATGCCTAAGGTTGGTTCGTGTTCATTGGTTGCCGAAAATAAGAATGCCCACTTGAGTGTATTTTTCATAAAATGGCTGAGGGGGTAGAAAATGGGTAAGATTTTTGCTTGAAATTTCCCTCTAGAGAGAGGAAAAGGGGCCTGCACAAGAAGGAAAAGCCATTCCTTGCTGCCACTCTTGCCCTCCGCTCCCAGATGCTGCCCCTCATGGGACTCTGTTCAGCTGGGACGCTAAGGAAGCACGGGAAGCACGAAAAAGCTACCCCCGGAACTAAGACAAGTGGGACTTCTGCGGGCAGCCAGTGGGCTGCCCCAGCCCCTCGCCCCCTGCAGAGGGAAAGGCGGGAAGAGAAAGCGGCTCTCGGCGATGGAGGGCTGCGTGTGACTGACTGTGATGCTCCCCTTCTCGGCTCTTTTCTCAGAATCACAGACTGCCCCCCTCCCTGACAAGCAGACTGCAGCACCTGGTGGGGGTAGGAGGAGACAAGAGAGAAAAAAGGGAGACAGAGAGAGAGAAAAAACATCAACAGCCAGGTCGCCAAACTAACAGCCAAATACACGACACGAAAGAAGGGAATTAACAGCAGTAACCGAGAGAGAAAGGAACGTGAGACCGATCCCAGCCTCGGCACAAAATAGGCCTCCTCCCCGTTGACGCCCTAGCCGAGGGACACAAAGTAACCCCCAGAGAAGAGATTTAGCGCACTGTGCTTCACCCCAGAACACACGAGCATTTTACATACTAAAATTTAGGAAATTAGGTGTCGAATCTTCACGGCTGGAATCTCAGAGAGCGTTTCAGTATCTCGAAAGCATTCTGACCACTGCTTTCAAGAAACCTCTTGTTAAAAAAGCCTAGAAGCAACGACCTCTAAGCGACGAAATCCTGCGAAAGAGACGCAAATTCACCCTTCAATGTGAATGGCCGGGGAGTAACTCAAAAGCGTACACAGACAGGGTCAACCGAGGGCCCCACCGAAAGAAAGTTCAAATGGGGCTGCCTCGGGGCCGAACGCAACCCGACCCCAAAGGTGTGGGAACGAGCCGACGGATCAACGGGAAGATACCCGGGCGCGGATCTTCATGCCCGTGTAGACACGACACTGGAAAGCAGGCACGTCGAAGTTACGTCCAGCGCGGTCCGTGGCCTCACCCCACCCCGGACTGACACCCGCCTCCGTCCAGCAGCACAAACAGGATGAAAGGCCAGCGCCACAGCTTTGCGCATCCCAGGTGGGGGACGCCGGGCGTAAGGGCCCCGCGTGGGGCTTTGGCTTGGGGGTGCTGCCTCCCCCTCGGGGCCAGGTTTAAAGCCCACAGCGCGACAGCCGGCCGCGGGGTCACCCCCTTCCGGCCGAGGGCTCCCCAAGGAAAGGGGAACGGCCGCCGCGCTCCCAAGGCCCCCGGG